AAAATATTTTTTTATCCAACTTTCTCTTTTTTATCCACACAACATTCATATCAATATACATAAAATATTTTTTATCCAGCTATATCTATTTTATCCACAGAACATTTAGATCAGTTACAAAAAACCATTTTCTATCCAGCAGCTATTTTATCACAATATGAACTAACATATTCATTTGTTGGCAAAAATGAGATAAAGAGGTGTGCCTTTGTATGAAAATGTGTTGAAGATTCTTACACTTGCAATAAGGGATTACATTTGCAACTTTGGGAGATAAGAGTAATACTACACATACAACATTTTTATACAACATTTTTCATACAACATTATATGGCAAAATATGATTGACTGGTTTTAAATTAAAATTAAACTTTTACCCAATCATCTTTTGCCACATAATATTGTATGAGAATATTGTATATATAATATTATTCAGGAGATAAAACGACTACCTTTACATGTTTTTTTTAAAGCAATTTAATTATTATAATAAATTAATTCTTACTTTTCAACTTTCCAATAAATTAATTATTACAATAAAGTAATTTGAATTTTAGGATCTCTATTATTAGAAACATTGAAGTAATAATTACTTCTCTCTCATCATTTCAAATATCAATAGTGTAAATTATTTTCCCTAAAGAAAGGGTTTAGGAGCCAAAAATAATTTTATTTTATTAAAAGGTAAATTTATAAATTTACTTTCCCAAAAAAGTTTTTGATCCGATGAATTGATTCAAATAGCACTACTCTTCCAAAAATTATATCTCAAATTATGTGTCATCATATATGATATTAACTTATGAATATATTATTGATGTGTTGAATGGTATCTCAACATCGATGACACAACATTTGAGATGTCATTTTGGAGATGTGTAACATTACTCTTCTATGTATTACCTTGACTTTTTAGACTGTTTAATAAATATAATCCTTGAAAATACAATATTGATAGGTAATTTATGCATAAAAACATTTTTATATAATATGATAAAAGAGGATTGATGGATGTTAAATTAAAAATAAACTTTCACCAAATTATTTTTTGTCACATTATATTATATGAGAAATATTGTATGTATAGTATTATTCTATTGATACGATGAATGACCACATAAGGCAATAGGAAAACTACTTCCCTTTTTTTTTTACAAATTACAATTTGACATTTTTTTTTAATTGATTTTGTTGATACATAAATTTGCATCAATTAGAGTGATTCGATCAACCTTGGCATGATCGAAACTGATGTGTACGTGATTACGGATAATCAACGTTGAACAAGTAATGAATGCAATAAAGTAAATAGCAAAAAGATTTTTAAAGTGGTTCGGCAAGGTAAACTCTTGAGCCTATGTCCACTGTTCTTGTATTTATTGTGAGAGCTTACAATAAGAGTTCTATGAAAATTTTGTAACCTCTTTCTAATCATTGGAGGGGATTTATATACAATATTTGTACAAAGAAAACAATGAAAATAAATGGATTACAATTTATTTGAAATATAACTCCAATATTCTCACGATTGAGCGTTACGATTGAGTGAAAATTGAGGTCAATCTGATTCCTCCTGAGATATCTAGGATCTGGAGCTATCTAGGAATTGGTTTAATGATCACATGGATTGTTTGCGACTAGCTTGTGTTAGATCGAGTTAAATCTTGACGAGTTTATGCTGGATCAGACAATCATTGGAGTTGAACTGATTCTAGGTCGAGCAACATCCTCGCGATAGCCCGAACTTGGTGAAAAAATCACATACAACAGATTTAGTAGATAAAATCTTTTGCCCACTTTTGTTCCAGTCTTATCTCTCCACAATTTTCATATCTTCACTTTTAACAACTCTAAACTGTAGCGTCGTCCGCATGACTCAACATTGGAGTTGCTCCACTGGAGCATTAGAATTTTTTTTTTTTTAATTATTCTCCAAATTAGCAATAGAAATTAAATATTAAAATTCCTTTAAATTAAAAAAAATAAAGTAATTATATTTTATAAAAAAAAAAGAAATAAAATAGAATGTTTTTCAAAAAAAGGAATAGTAAAGGTATGTAAGAGTTATTTTAAGTTTTTAACTTTATTAAAAAAGAAATAAAATCAAAATTTTGAAATTTTTTTACTCTAGTGCCAGTGTCAACTGGACTCTAGCGCTAAAGTGAAGCCACCAAGTGCCAGACTAGCTTTCCCCAGCAGCTAGAGTGAAGAGGATAAAAGTGAAAATAAATTAGACGAAGGGTTTTATCTACTAAATCAATTAAGAAGAAATCAGATTTCAGTTGACCCTTAAAAAAATGATTTTTATGAATTTTCAAGTATTAATTTATACTGGTAGGACTAAGTAAGACTTGGACGAAATCAAGAATTGTAAATAATAATATATTAATGCTATAAAAATAATTAATATGATGGTGATTTAAAACAGACCATTACGACTCCACTACTACTGGTTGGTAGCTTGTGACACTTGAACAACTGTAGATTTTCATATTACAAGAGTGATCACATGATGGGATGCTTGTCAGGATTATTTAGATTTTTAGAAACCCATTATCTATTAAAATTTTAAACCAAAAGTCTTTTTATACATTATCTATTAAATGTAAGCTGTATAGAATGCTAATTAATAGCTACATTAATATTATATTACAATTATTTAATTATTTAGTTCAACTTCCAGGATAACAATTTCTCTTTCATCCGGGATGATACAAAATCTAGTGGGTTGGATTTACTTATCACAATTTAGATGGGTCTTTGGGTTGAACCCGCTGGTGTTTGGTTAACTCATTTATCCATTAAGCCTTCTAAAAAAATAAAATAAAATAAAAGAATCAGACAATTATATAATTAATTTATAATTTAATAAAAAATTAAATTAAATTGATAAAGAAAACAATTCAGTCTATTCTTCATGGTGGTATTGTCTGGCACTCTTACATTCCTTCACGCTTCGCAACCAAATAAGATATATCACAAACTAGACATTGCAAAATAAATGTATATCACAAATTCGTGCATCTAATATAAGTTAATGCACAGATTTGAGGATCCATACAAATTTGTTTGATTATTCTTTGAATTTCCTTGCCTGCTTTTACTAAGCAGTAGGAATGGCGCTACTGCTGCTGCAGATTCTGACCAGACAGCACCTGGATGGAAGTTCTTCCTCATCTATTTTTAATTAGATCCTGTGTCTTGAAACGATGACTAACATTACTTTGAAAGAATCAAAAGCAAAGATAGTACAGAGTGATGGAAACAACAAATCCAGCCAATCACGCACCTGCAAAGGGAAATACTGAAGTAGAGGCGGAGACACATGAATTTTTCATCTAAATTATATCCAAAGAAAAATGTAATAAAACCTTAAACCAATTACAATTTCCAGAATTTGCTTTCGGCAAAAGGAAGTGGTGGAAGTTACAGAAGCTTCAAGAGTTAGGTTTACTGTCAGTGATATGTTCAATTAGACTACTATATTTTCTTCAAGGTCATCATTAGGTTAAATGCTCAGGGCTTTTGGATGCAACAACCATTTATGGAGGAAACTAGGAAAGAGACTTCCCATACAGAGCTTGCATTATTAGTAAATATAAAAGATATATTGACATATATGATTAAGCATTAACCTGTTGCCGAATTTCATCCATCCACTGAAAATAACCCAATCCTCCATCTCTACGGGCTTGTCAAAGCTCTGCATCTGAAAGCGACTCTACACCCTGCTAATAGGTAATAAATTAAATGGCCAGAATAACCCAAAAAAATGGAGAAAATATTTTATAAAATCAACCAGCTAATATTCTCCAAAGTATGCTCATCAATGAACAGCTTGCCAAAGCAGCAAAGCCTAAAATTTCATCATTCAACAAATCAGCACATGGTCTAACCTGTTCAAAGGCAGAACCTAAACTAAATTATTTCCAGCACAAAACAGCTAAAACATAGAGTAAGCCCACTTCACTTGTTAGGCAAAGGAAAAACGAATTATTAACTTGTTCATAAACTAAAACTCATCCAGATCTTCTATCTTCTCCAACCTCCATTTCATGAGTTGGGGACTTGAGGCTATGCCTGTCAATTAACGGAGTCGTAAACAGATCATATAAACATTCAGGAGCTACAACTGCTAAGAAGACTCGGGATGAATACAGCTTATGCAACGGTGATAATTCCAACCACTACCTCTTCTTTCATCTTGTCATGGAAGGATGATGCTTAAGCAACATGTTAGGAATAATTTGAGGATACTGACAGCAGGAACTCCATTAAAGGAACTATAACGAAAAATGTAAATGGTAATAACCTGAAAATATCAGTTGTGGACTGTGTAAGCTGTTTCCTCTCCCTTCTAAAAAGACCCTTCCCTCTGGCAAGTTTCAACAGTAACCATAAACATAACCAATAACACTGCATAGTAGACTTGAATGCATCTGCCTAATGGCAGGTTTTCATAGCCCGATATTCCTATTATATGTCTGCCTCACCTAATTTTGGCAGGTATATATAATACCATCTAAGTAGGAATTTTAACTTGCTGACTTCTAATGAATACCTTCAGTCGTAATAATATAGCTACAGTCCAAGAAAATGGACACCCAGAAGGTTCACAAGGTAATGCTGAAGATAGTTATATATATTTATATATTAATGAATTAAAAGTTGAAAACTAAGTTAAGCAAATCTTTTGCACAATGAATGCATTATAACATACTATTTTATTGATCACTGCTTCCCTGTGATGGCCTTTTCTGTTTTTGCGTATACTAATGGTCACAACCAAATTATAAATGATACAAGCCTAGACAACAATAAGGAAAAAGAACTGCAGAGGAGTTGATTACTGTGCAATAAACAAAAAATGGAGAAGAAAAACAGCCTGAAACAAAATGATTTTTCCCATAATTGCTCACCATCTTTAATTGGCCTTCGAGAGAGATGGCTGTCCTGTCAAGATATAAAACAATTGAATCTTCACTAGCAGGTGCTTTGAAATTCTCCCAGAAGCCAAGGGTCTCATCAGTCCACCCCAGCTGATACCAAAGTTAGGCCATCCAGGCTCTCTAAAACATTGATTTAAGAAATCAGCTACATTTATTTAAGAGTACAAGATACTGGGTTCTACACTAAAGTTTGTCAGATAGTAAAACCTGGGAAAACTCAAGGACTCTAGAGCTTTGCAGCTTTTAACTCCCCAACTTTAGCCAGTTTTAACTCCCCAACTTTAGCCATTGAACGGTGTCTCCAAAAGCTCCAGTCAGTAAATATAAGCTAACAAACAACCACTCAGGATTATAGTTTTGTTGTTCCCAAAATAATGTTTCATGAATCCAAGCAGCATATCCTTATATTGGTACATATTATTTTTCCTACCAGAAAGTGCCATTCAGCTTCTGCACTTATTCATAGAAATTGAGAGTAAAATAAGGTAGATTTCTGTTAGAAATTGAGACATGGACTTACCAGTATATATATAAAATGAAACTACAAGATATAGGCTTTTCCCTTCAAAAGAATTTCAATTCTTTAGGAAGTCGTTCATCTTCATCATTTTTAAAAGTAGATCACTTTCAGTAGCTAGGTTCAAATTCATCTGCATCAAAGCAGTCACTTTCACTAGGTTTCATCTTCATCAAAGTAATCACTTCCACTAGATTCTGCTCCATCATTGTCAACAGGGATCTGCGTAGTTGTGGCAAACTGGCAATCACATCCATTGTTGATCCAAAAAAAAGCTTGAGGGAATTCATTCAAATCAGAAGGAAACCTACTAGATTCATTTGCACTTGGATTGATATCATTTCTACTTGGACTGTACTCTTCCACTTCTTTCTCATGTAGTACTAGAAGCAATCCAGACCTTGCCACATCAAAAAAGATAACATAGTGAAACGACAAAAGCATATTAAAGATCATAATCAAACAATCAATATATAGAATATATTTATATTAATTGATTAAAAAAATAATAATTGAGTAAAACTACCATGATTGATAATGGATTCAACAAGGCCTCCTGATGTTAAAATGCGACCATTCTGATGGCTGCATAACATAGTTGTTTCTTTTGTGTGTTGACCATCCAGGTTCCTAACCAGCATTCGGAAAAAAGAAATTATGTTTAAAATTACAAAAACATCCGAACCCATTTCAACCAATTCCAGTTTTCATATCATTTATTGAATACCTTATTTCCGGAAACGAATAACTATATTTAAAATCTACATCAAACGCAGCTTAATTCACCCTATGCGAAAACCAACAGTTCAAACAATAGTAATACCACACTTATAACTCAAAGAACACACTTTTTACACATTCAATACAACGCAATATCACACTTATAACACAAAATATCACACTTCAGGTAAATTCAACAACAGTAAAGGGGCAATTTAGTAAAAAATTGAAAAGACAAGATAGGGAGGGACCTGAGGAGCGAGGCGCTTGCAGTGGCCGCACCAGGTAACGTAAAAATCGATTAAGATCAAGTCAAAGGCTGAGATTGCTGATTCAAAGTTTGATTCCTCCAGCTCTATTGCTTTGCCATCTATTTTGAACTGGGTTTCTTCTTGAAAAGAAAATGAAACTGACCCACAGAGTAATAAGATCCAAACTGTAATTCTAACCAGCTCTCGCATATTCGATAACTTTTTGTTGCTCTCAAAATTATCAGATGGGTTTAGTATCTTGCTGAAAAAACCAGCCACTTTTTGACGTAATTTTTGATTTTATGGTGTTTGGGGGTGAGCGATTCCGGGTACCCTGTATTTTTCGGGGGAACCGGAATCGGAACCGCACAGTGCAGGTTTCCAAAAAAAGGAACCGGAACCGGAACCGCACAGTACAGGTTCTTTAATTCAAGGAACCGGAACCTAAAATGCAGGTTCAGGTTCCTTTCCAGGGTACCCTGTAAAAAATCAATTACCCCCCTATTAGTTTAAAAAATAACAAAAACACCTTATAAGTTTACAAATACACCTCTAACAAATTTTCATTATTCATTCATTTGTGTCCAATGTAACTCATAACCTGTAATCTCTAAGCAACACTTGAATTCAATCAATTCATCACAATTCACATAAAATTCGTCAATCAAGGCCAAACACAAATAATTATTCTCACAATTCACATAAATAAATTATTAATTTTTATTATTTTATAATTTAATGTTATAATTGGTCAATTGGGTATTTATAATAACCAAATATAATTTAGTAAATTTAATAGAAACTAGTAATGTATAATTAAATAAGTGATCATACTACAATGTAAATTGTAATATTAATAATTAATTAGTGATCATACTACAATGTAATTTTAATGTTATAATTAATTAAGTAATATACTATTTAATTATAATGTAAATTATAATTAATTAATTGTTAATCATTTAATTAAGTATTGTAATATTGTTTATATAGAATTTTATAATTAATTAGATAATCATACCATAAATTTATAATATAATATTATAATTAATAAAATTATAATAATTTGATTAAGTATTGTGTAAATTAGTAAATTACTAATGTTATATATAATGTCATAATCAATTAAGTAATCATTTAATTATGTAATGTTAATTAATTATATGATCATATTATAATAGTATAATGTATTTATAAATGAATTAAGTAATCATACTATAAATCTATAATTTAATATTATAATTAATTAAATTTCAAATGATATTAATATACTAATGTATAATGGAATATTAAATTGATTAGTAATCATATTATAAATATAAAGTATTTTATAATTAATTAAATTTTAATCGTTTAATTAGTAATGTAATAGTATGTAAATTACTAATGTTTATAATGTAATGTTATAAATTCATAACTAATTAAGTAATTATGTGATCATTTAACTATATAATGCTATAATTAAGTAAGTGATTATAATATAATGTATATAAATATTATAATTTAACTGAGTAATTATTTAACTATAATGTAATGCTTAATTAATGTTTATAATGAAATGTTTTAAGGTATTGTATAATTAATTAAATTTCTTATTATTTAATTAAATATTGTGCTAATGTTTATGTGTAAATTAGTATTACTAATGTTTAAACATAATATCATAACTTATAATCAATTAAGTAATCATTTATTATGTATTGTTATATTATTTATAATCATACTAATAGTATAATGTAATTTATAATGAATTAGTAATTATACTATAAATCTATAATTTATATTATAATTAATTAAATTTCAAATCATTTGATTAATATACTAATGTTTAAATGGAATGTTATATTGATTAAGTAATCATATATAAATATGTAAGGTAATGTTATAATTAATTAAATTTTAATCGTTTAATTAAGTAATGTAATAATATAGTAAATTAGTAATTACTAATGTTTATAATTGTAATGTTATAAATTCATAACTAATTAGTAATTATGTGATCATTTAACTATTATTCTATAATTAAGTAAGTAATCATAATATAATGTAATATAATAATATTATAATTTAATTGAGTAATTATTTAACTATAATGTTGCTTAATTATATGTTTATAATGAAATTTTTAAAGGTAATGTTTAATTAATTAAATTTTTTATCATTTAATTAAGTTTGTGCTAATGTTTATGTAGTAAATTAGTAATTACTAATGTTAAAAACATAATATCATACTCATAATCAATTAAGTAATCATTTAATTATGTAATGTTATATTAATTTATGATCATACTATAATAGTATAATGTAATTTTAATGAATTAAGTAATCATACTATAAATCTATAATTTATATTATAATTAATTAAATTTCAAATCATTTGATAATATACTAATGTTTATAATAGAATGTTATAATTGATTAAATAATCATATTATAAATATGTAAGGTAATGTTATAATTATTATTTTTAATCGTTTAATTAGTAATGTAAATATAATAATTAGTAAATTACTAATGTTTATAATGTAATGTTATAAATTCATAACTAATTATGTAATTATGTCATCATTTAACTATGTAATGCTATAATAAGTATGATCATAATATATAATGTAATATAATAATATTATAATTTATTTGAGTATTATTTAACTATAATGTAATGCTTAATTAATGTTTATATGAAATGTTTATAAGTAATGTATAATTAATTAATTTCTTATCATTTAATTAAGTATTGTGCTATTTTTATGTAGTAATTAGTATTACTAATGTTTAAAACATAATATCATAACTCATAATCAATTAAGTAATCATTTAATTATGTAATGTTAATTAATTATATGATCATACTATAATAGTATAATGTAATGTTATAATGAATTAAGTAATCATACTATAAATCTATAATTTAATATATATTAATTAAATTTCAAATCATTTGATTAATATACTAATATTATAATGGAATGTTATAATTGATTAGTAATCATATTAAATATATAAGGTAATGTTATAATTAACTAAATTTTTAATCGTTAATTAAGTATGTAATAAATAGTAAATTATAATTACTAATGTTTATAATGTAATGTATAAATTCATAACTAATTATGTATTATGTCATCATTTAACTATGTAATGCTATAATTAAGCAAGTGATCATAATATATAATGTAATATAATAATATTATAATTTAATTGAGTAATTATTCAACTATAATGTATGCTAATTAATGTTTTAATGAAATATTTATAAGGTAATGTTATAATTAATTAAATTTCTTATCATTTATTAAGTATGTGCTATTATTTATGTAGTAAATTAGTAATTACTATATTTATAATATAATGACATAGTTAATTAAGTAATTATTAATTATGTAATGTTATAATTAATTATATAATCATACTATATGTAATGTTATAGTGAATTAACTATTAAGTAATCATACTTAAATTTTTAATATAATATAATTAATTAAATTTTTAATCATTTAATTAAGTTTGTACTAATGTTTATATAAATGTTATAATTGATTAAGTAATTATACCATAAATCTATAACGTAATGCTATAATTAATTAATTTCTAATTAAGTCAATTAATTAACTATTTAATTATGTTAACTTATAAGTTAATTAATTAAGTAGCAATCAATTAATGTAATGCATAATTAATTATACTATAAATCAATTAGTAATGTTATAAAATTATAATTAATTAAGTAATCATTTAACTATAATATAATGTTTATGATTAAGTATGATATTTAACTAGTAATAAATTTATTAGTTTATCAATTTTATCATATATAATTAATTAATTACTAATTTATATAGATATACTTAGAACTTGATAATTGAGTAATAACTAAATATCTCCTTCTTCATGTTCATACTCTACTTGCCTATACCTTCTACTTTGACTTTCCTAGTCTTTTTTGTTGCGTGTAATATGTGATGTTTATGTGATTCAGGTAAATCATTATCCCACCAATTTTTTAACATTCCTGTAAATCCTGAGACTAATATTTTTGCTATTGATGATCAGTGTTGTCATGTGATTTATGAGCTAATGCTGCCATGGTCATTTCTTGTAAAATATTTAATATTTGATGTTCAGCTAATCCGTCTATATTCCATTCATCTATTCCTGTTCCAGTGTAGGAAGATCTTGCTAGTTGTGATATATCCTCAAATTGCATATCTGGTAAAGAAGGTCTTGGTAATAGTTTCGAGTTTTAGGATATCTCATATTATTTCTCATTTTATTAATAGATAAGTTTTGAAAATTTTGATTTAATTCTTCTATTGGTCGGATTCTGTGAGAACATTAATGTTTGATTTAGAGGATGATAATTCACTAAGTTTTTTTACTAATATTTTCTAGAATAGTGTGTGATTATTAAATTTAATAATTTCCTCTTTTGGAATGTCAAAGGGTTCAAAAATGGTTTAACATATTTTTGTGAATAAAGGGGTGTTGAAGTTGATGTTAAATTTGATGTTGAATTTCCTAAAGTTGGTGAAGTTGTTGAATTTTCTACTATCTCCTTCCCGGGGTTTTTGAAATTTTGTAATTATGTGGGTAGTATTGTCTTCTATCTTATTCATTTGTTGACTAATGGTGTAGAGAATTTGATTAGAGTAATTGTTTTGATGTTTGAATATTTTTAATGTCTCTTAAGTTGGTTGCTTTTGATCATCATCTATTCTATTAATTTTCTTAAAGGTGATGCTATTATTTCTGCTTGTTGATGTTCTATTTTAATTTCTTCTAAGGGTGGATGGACAGATGTAATAGTTTTATTTGTTGTTGTTTGCCAATTTTTTGTAGCATTAGTGGTAACAAAAATAGTTTTCTTTTCACTTAAATCTTGATAACATTTTCTATTTTCTAACCAATTAAAGAAATAAATATTTTGTTTTAATTTTCTTGTGTATTGTACCATTCAGATCTAGGGTATTTTGTTCTTCTGGACTAAATTTTGTAAAGAATATTTGTCTTTTTCTTATTATAATCTTGTAAGAATTCTTGTTTTAATAATTCTTTATTTAATTTCAAAAGGTTTTGTATTGTGTTGATTTGACTATAGTTTCCTAATACTTCTGATTGTGTTGGTGAACTAGTGGACTTGATGTATTTCGTATGCAGGTTTTGGTACAGGAGGGGAATAATTTACTCCTACTAATTTACTTGTTGAGTTGTTGACGAAGAGCTAGGTGTTGTAATTTCTTCAATCCTAGGGTTGTGGTGATTTTGTTAGTAACTATGGGTTGATTTTGTTCTAAAGATATTTCTCTAAATTTTAATTTTATTGTACCGTCTCGTTCTTGTATTATTTGTTGTATTTCGGAATCATTTTGATCATGTAAATGTTTTGGAGGCATAATTTTTCTAATTTCCAATCTGTTTGTTTAAATCTCATCCCAAGCTAATCTTTTTGGTGTAAAGGTTTTATTGTTTGTTTTATCGGCTTCCATAAAACTGGTGTCCTGGTGGGGACATCCTAATGGCTCTTGGACTTATTGTGGTATTCATTACTTTGTAATAAATCCTATATATTAATGCTACTGGTTGGGCTTTATCTTGATAAGTAAGATTAGAAGCTTTTAAATTAATATGTTAATGAAGATAGTATTGTGGGATCAGTAATCCTACTGTAAAGTTTGGATAACAATCAAATAAACAGAATTATTGATTTATTAGAAGATTTTTTAATAAATACACTTTTAATTATATCATAATTCCAATTTCACTTAATTGATCAAAACTTTAATATTAATGTATTATAATATTTAAAGCTTTTATATATGTAATTTATATGTAATAAGTAAATTGTATTCGAATATTTATTTAATAGGTCTTCTAAAATTTTAACTTTTTCTATTTTAAATTTTTTTATATGTAAAATAATAGAAACTCCCCCATTATTTACATTTCACAAATATTTCATTATAGTCCAGGTTCCAAAATAGGTTCTAAACAGGTTCCAAAAACAGGTTCCAAAACAGGTTCCAAACAGGTTCCAAAACAGGTTCCAAAACAGGTTCCAAATAGGTTCCAAAACAGGTTCCAAACAGGTTCTAAAACAGGTTCCAAACTGGGTACCCCCTACAGGTTCCAAACAGGGTACCCTTTTTACAAGTTCTGGTTCCGGTTCCGGTTCTTCCACATGCAAGAACCGGAACCGGAACCGCACAGTAGCGGTTCTAAAAAATTGGAACCGGAACCTACCTGCACAGTGCAGGTTCTGGATAGGTTCCGGTTCCGGTTCTTACCCCCGGTTCTGGTTCTACCCGCTACCCGTGCTCACCCCTAGACTGTTTGGGATGTAAATGTTAGGGGTGTCCTCTGAAGTTTGAGATTTTTCAATTTAACCCTTATCTTGATCTAAGTAGCTAGCATAAGAAATGGATTGACAGTTTAGGCCCCATAGTTTTGATAATCTACTTTGGGAAGATGAAATTAATAATTTTAAATTGTTTTCAAATATGAAATTAAAGAAGGATTTTAAAATCATGTCATGAATAATGCCATCGAGCATAATATGAAGTGATATAAACTCTTCAAGAAGGTAACAACGAGCGTGCGTTTGTCCAATCAAGTAATGCATGCAAATTGCCTAACTAGTATATATGCAACACTGTTCACTCCACCATACAAAAATCTTTATCTTAAAATGATCATAAAAACTTTTATATAAGGTCCAACAAACAATTAGGGATATATTGAACATGATAATATTTGATCTCTCATTTGCATTGGAATAGACGGCAGGGGTCTTTTATATTCAGTGCATACCATAATAAATTCCAATAAATAAAGTTTATAATACTTCAAGTCAAGCAACAATGGCAAGAATTGGTAAAGGATTTGTAAGTTCTACTATCATTTTCACAACTTTCTCACTAAAAATGAAGTTGAGGTTTTGATCTATTTGATTTATGTAATGAAATTGAGAGTGGAAAATATTCTAGAAACTATCAAGTACGGCAGACATGAAAATGTAAACAAATAACGTTTTCAATAGTTCTCTAATAATGAAAATTAATAAATGAAAGCGAATTATGGAGAATGATTATTCAATAATTTGAATCTTCAAGTTATCCTTCAAGATAGATGACTGTCAAGATATGAAACATTTGAATCTTCATCTGTAGGTGATTCAATTTAAAAAATCTCCTAGGAGAAAGAGGTCTCATCCGCCCCAGCTGATAGCCTGGTACGGAATTTGACCATCAGGGCTCTGCAAAACATTAATTTGGGTAGCTGTTATATCTATTTAAGAATACAATATATATAGCGGGTTCTAAACTAAAGTTTGTCAAACAGTCAAACCTGGGAAATTGCTCAAGGAGTCTTTTAAGTTTTGCAGCATTATTACTCTCCAACTTTTGTCATGGAAGGGTACTTCCACAAGCATAGCTTGTTTTTGTTCCTCTGCAACTCAAGCCATGTCCACTTAGTATCTCTTTGTGATGTCTATTCCACTCCAGTCCATATATCTACACATGTTAAACCATAAAACATCAAATTGCCATAAATAAGGCGAACACCATACATTGCACAAGTATAGATGACGATGAGCAACAGGAAATTAATGTCTCTTTTGTTGTAGTTTCTATAAAAAACTCATAAGAAAGAGTGAGACGATGAGCAACAGGAAATTAATGTCTCTTTTGTTGTAGTTTCTATAGAAAACTCATAAGAAAGAGTGAAACCATTTCACTGGCCTGTGTTCCAGTATCACTACTGATGCCTGTCCGTTAGTAAATTTCATACCTTAACACATTCATCTACTGTGCCTTCTCCAGAGGCAAGTGCATTAGATTAAGAAGGGACCATGCGAGGGCCTTGACTNATATATATAGTGGGTTCTAAACTAATGTTTGTCAAACAGTCAAACCTGGGAAATTGCTCAAGGACTTTTTAAGTTTTGCAGCATTATTACTCTCCAACTTTTGTCATGGAAGGGTACTTCCACAAGCATAACTTGTTTTTGTTCCTCTGCAACTCAAGCCATGTCCACTTAGTATCTCCTTGTGATGTCTGTTCCTCCCCAGTCCATATATCTACACATGTTAAACCATAAAACATCAAATTGTCATAAATAAGGCGAACACCATACATTGCACAAGTATAGATGACGATGAGCAACAGGAAATTAATGTCTCTTTTGTTGTAGTTTCTATAGAAAACTTATAAGAAAGAGTGAAACCATTTCACTGGCATGTGTTCCAGTATCACTACTGATGCCTGTCCGTTACTAAATTTCATACCTTAACGCATTCATCTACTGTGCCTTCTCTAGAGGCAAGTGCATTAGATTAATAAGGGACCATGCGAGGGCCTTGAATGCATCACAATGTGAAATAAATCCATTCATGAATTTGCTTTAACTCATCTGGAAGGGTCCTGTATACAAGCTTATCATTACCACCTCTTGCCAGTTGATTGCCTTCAGTAGACCATTTCAGTCCACATACTTCTTTAGTGTGTGCTTTTATGCACTCTTACCTGCGAATAAGAGCATGATAACAATATAGAAGTCAGAATATGAATGATTGGCAATTAGAATATGAACATTCAGGTGGCTCCATGACAAGTAGTTACTTTTCTGTACAGACCATCCAGATTCTTAACTTGCATTCACGAAATATAAATTATGTTTGATATTAACTTATTACAAGTCCTGGAGTAACTGATTTTGAAGCCTGAACATACCAGAGCTGAAGTTTGGAGTCCATATATCCAACAGCGAGAATTGTAGCAGTGTGAGAGCAGGCCACACTCATAGGATGATCATTGTCCCCAAAGGATTCCAACAACATATATCTGAACCCAAAGCAATTGCAAGAATGATACTTTTCTCCCAATCAATGACGTTCAGACTAAATTTATCCCTCATATTAGGTGCATCCAGAATCTTAGCTTCATTAAGCAAACACCATCAATCA